TCTTGGAGCATACATGACCCTTCACTATACAGCAACGAATGAAAGTATTGTATTGTGGTTTTTTTTCTGCAGTAACTATACAAATCTTGTTTAGTTCTATTTTGAATAAAAGGTTAAGCATTTGGAAGGGTGAGGTTTATTGTACATCCATATGAAATCTTATAGCTAGATCTGCTGACTTTACCCTCGTCACTATGGGAAATAAGGCAATCATATCACCCCAAACCTCAAAGGCTAGGGAAATCAGAAAAGAAGCAATGAGTAATGAGTCCAGACATGTGGAGTTTTACTTAGACTTTCTGTTATTTCTGAAATACTGCTACTAGCCTCTAGTACCAAAGAACTTCACTGAATTCTGACTGATATAGAAATACTGTATGTTCTGTCTGACAAACAAATAATTCAAACTTGAAAATCCAATATCACTTAACTAGGAAAAGTAGGAGGCAACAGTCTAGAATTTAAACCCCAGGATACAGAACTTTATATAAGCTTTGATTTTGATGTACTACATGTTAGGAATGTAAGTCACCTAACAGCTATTTGGGTTGGAAATATATAAGCCAGGATAGACATTTTAATACTGTCTCTTTAAGAGAGTCCTAAAAGTGTAATTGGGTGTGGTTTCTCAAGCGGCCATAAGATGGAGCCAGAAACCTGGGTTATTTAGTCTTAGTCTTAGTCTCAGAAGAGAGTGTGTCTCAGTGAGTCTCTTTTTCCTTCTGTTGGAGAGTATTGCTGTTCCTCCATTTTTCCTAATTGATTGCTATTACTGGATTTGATGTAAGTCTGATACTGAACTATTTTCGATACTGGACTTTGTTATTGGATTATCCCTGGACTGAAAACTGACTGCTTTAACCGTGAATGACTTGGACTTTTGTTGAACTTTGCTTAACCGTTTACTGGAAGTAAAACCTACATTTTACTACACAGTGTAGCTGTGTGCTGTTTGTGTGTTATTCTTCACCACTCTCACTACGTCTCCCTGTGTGCGCTCATTCTCCTAACGGGGAATTACCTCAACACTACACATCTATATGAAGGTAGCTTCATTCATTTTACAATAAAGAGACCAATCTTATCCAGTTGTATCTGTATCTTCTGCTGAGTAAAATAGTTTTGAATAAGGCATTAACTATTTAGTGAAGTGTGATTGAAGATTGTGCCTGGTGTGAAAAACAAATGATCTCTAATCTCAACAAATGAATGAATGAATACATAAATAGTAAAGAATTAATAGTAAATAAAACAATGTAAGGCCAGTGACAGAGCCAGAACTTGAAAAATTGCCAAATCTCAAGAGATTTTGATAGTTTTTTACAACATATTGCAAGACTGGAAAAAGGCAACATGTGATTTCAGATAATGCTGTATTAGAATTGGAAATTTCTGTTGATATAGGTCTCTAAAGACAATGTTTATCTTGCTTTGGAACCAGTACCAATGATCAGCTTCAGGACATTTCTGGACCCATAGTGGCTCTAAACTATGGACTGGGAATTGCTGTTTTCATAAAATAGATTTAAAATTAAGCAACTGACAGTATTAATATCAAAGAACATGTAAATGTATTGTGTGTGTGTGTGTGTGTGTGTGTGAGAGAGAGAGAGAGAGAGAGAGAGAGAGGAGACAGACAGACAGCAAATGTATGTATGTTTTTTCTACAAGAAAGTTAAAGTGATATTCATTCTGAAAAGCTGTTAAAAATATTTGAAATCTGTCAAAGGAATGCTCACTTACCATACATTTCTAAAGTTTTACAAATTGGTGGTTCTCTTCTTCTCTAACTTTTTAGTTTACAGCACAACTAATGTATTTATATAAACTGTAATTTTAATTAAAAGTGGCTGCATTGGTCTTTTCAAAGTTGCTTCCTTTCTTTTGCAATTAATTTCTCCTTTCAAAACAGACATCTGTGTTGTCCTTAAATAAGCACTACAGAGGTAACATAGGCAAACATTTGAATTCAGAATATAGCAGTTTGAAAACTTGGTTGTCTTGATTGCCTACAGCTGGTAATTGACTGACATGTGCATATCAAAATGCACATTAGGATTATATAGATTGTGATTTTTTTTATAACTTCCATGAATACTTTGTTTTTTTGTCCTTAAATAAATAAGCATGTTTTTTAGTTTGAAATATAATTGTCCCGGTAATGTATAAATAAGGAAATATTAGAACACCTTCAGCAAGAAGCATTTTTTTTTTTTTGAATAATTTTACAACATACCCCATGTGGTTATATTGCTGTGGGAGCTAAGAATGTAATATTTGGAAGTAAACAACTGAAATTTGCCAGCAGATATAAAATATATTCAGTACTTTTAAATATTGAAGGTATTTTAAAAGTCATTGGAAGACAGGGCAGAAGGTAAGGATCAGAACTTTCATAAATAGAAATATTTCAATTATTCTCCACCACCAGATAAAATATACACAAAGCTACTCACTCAATATACTGGCTGAGTTTACACACTGTAGTAGGATCTATTGTGAATTGTTTAATTTTGGCTTTGTGGTTTGTGAATTATAGAAAGTTAGCACCCACCCCTCTCCTAGAAGAATGAAATATTCTAGAAAATATTAAAAAGGCAGAATATTATATTTCCCTGGATGAGAAAAGGAGAAACATGTTTTTAAAGACAAAGCAGCTCCTTGCAGCTCCCTGCCTCCCCTTCCCCCTTCAGCACCAGGGTGATGGGATCAGGACATGATAGGATTAGCCCTCTACCAATCTCACCACATGGCACCTGGGAAGATTTCACCACCCAGCAGGATTCAACCAAACTTAGCACACAGACAACCTACAGAGCTAGCTATGACCCCTGACAGCAACCAATCAGGATACTCTTCCTGTGCTCCAGAAAGTTCAAAGCCTAGAAAGAGCATAAAACCCAGGGACTCTCAGTATCTCTTCCCTTTTCGCTCAGTAGCTCCAAGGCATGTGATCCTGTCCACTATTCAACAATATTTCCAAATAGCCTCCATGTTTCTGAAGCAGGGTGGAAAATTACCAGAAAAGTATTCTTATCATTAGCAGAAGTTCCTTAGCTTATATCGCAGACATTATAGACGTTGCTTAATATGATATTGTGAAAATCAGGAAATCTGCTGAATCTAAGTCTAAGTATAATGACCTATGAACTAGATATTTTCTGTAAACAGCTAAATGGCAAGGGTGGCAAGGGTGGGTATGGAAAATAACAGATGGTGTAAGATAAGCACGTATATGCTGAATTGTGCAAAATGACTAATTAGACTTACTTCCCCCTTTTGTAGTACGCTGAGACTGGGAGCTGCATAAAAGTAACCCCTCAGGAATAGCTGGGGGTTCAGAATTTGCCATGCTAATGCTCTGAACCTTTTGCGTAAATAAACCTGTATTCTCCTACCCTTTGTGGTCTTGTGTCCTGATTTGAAAGCAGGATGTGCTGCAACATTTATGGTGACCACGGCAGGACACAAGGGGCCCTGAGGCCCGCTGGAGGGTCCACCCCGGGTGCCGGTGCTTTGGTGAGTTGAAGGGAACATCCCAGGCGCCATCGGTCCTTTGAATCCGAGGGACTTCCCAATACTGCTGGGTTCTGGCGATGGCGGTTGACACCTCCAAGAACCACTGGTGAAGGGTAAGGAGACCAGGACATTTTCCAGCCGGCCAGTGGAGAAGGAACACACCTGCAGGCAAGTATTGGACTTGGGAAGCAATCCCTCCCTGTAAGCAGGGACGGAGGAGAGGACTGATCACCCTCTCTTAAGCAAAGGTGGGAGGAATTGTCAGGAATGGTTGAGGTGAGCGGCTACTGCGGTTCCCAATGATGACTGTGAGTGTCCAGCACTGTGGGCCAGTAGGAGGCGAGTGGTGTCTGCAGTTCCCATCGGGGACCATGTGCACGTGGCTCCCTGGGTTGGATGTGAGTGTGTGGAACTCCCTGGTGTTACCAAGAGAGGAAGGACTCCATACCTTCTTCTAACCCCTCTTCCCAATTGTTTTGTCTGGTGACCTGGGTGGCTCATGGGAGGTGGAGAAAGTGTGCCCCTAACCCCATTGGGGTGTATGCTAAAACACTTTAAGAAAGCATATGAATCTCAGGACTATGGTCTTAAGTGGAGTAGACATAAACTGCAGGTGTTTTGTGAGGGAGAATGGCCAACATTTGGAGTGGGGTGGCCAGCCATAGGTACTTTAGACACCTCTATAGCAGTACAGGTTCATCAGTTAGTATTCCATCCTACGTTAGGACATCCAGACCAAGCTCCTTACATAGATGTTTGGCTTGACCTATTAAACCACCCTCCACCATGGCTTAAAAAATTCAAAGTACAATGGTGTAGGCTCCTAGTGTCACAAACCTTACCACTGACCAAACCAAAGAAGTCCACCCCAGTCATGCCGAGCTGCCCAGAAGAATTACCGCACCCATCCCCATATGTACCCCCTCTTGGTTTAAGAAGGATGTCAGATGAGGGAAAATCCTCTGGGGCATCAGGATTAATAGCCCGACTAGACCGGATATCCCCCCTCATGAGAAGCCCTGGGGATTCACCAGACACGATGAATTGATCGGCCCAAGCCGACCTTTCACCCCCGGGGCCCTCTGCCCAGGTAGACCCTAAACAAGAGGCTGAACCAGTGGCAGCAAGGACAAGAGCCAAAACAGAACAAACATCCCTGACTGCACCGCTTAGGCAGGTTGACCAGCTTGTAACGGATCATGAGGACCCCACAGCATCGGTCACCTTACCATTGTTCCAACATGTACCATTCACTATGTCAGATCTACTTAACTGGAAACTACACTATGGCCCCTTTAGTGAAAAACCTACAGAAGTAGCAGATTTAGTGAAAACTATAGTGGACACACACAATCCTACATGGATGGATGTCCAACAACTTATGGGGACTCTGTTTAATCCAGAAGAAAGGGAAAAGATTAGGAACTCAGTAACTGAGATATTAAAACCTGATGTCAGGGCAGATGGAAATCTAGTGGCACATGTTGAGGCTCACTTCCCATCCCAAGATCCTAAATGGAATCCTTATCAGGATATGGACCATATATGAGATGGTTGTGGTTGTGCGAGCCATTCGAGTGGCAGGAAAGCCTTCAGTGAATATGTCTAAACCTTCCCTCGTATTGCAGGAGCCCACAGAAAGCCCCGAAGCATTTTATGCCCGCCTTATTGACGCTTACCGCATGTACACCCCCATAGATCCTATTGACCAGGCAAATGCCCAAATGTTAGCAATGGCATTTATCTCACAAAGTGCTACAGACATATGCTGTAAATTACAAAGGCTTGAGGGAACACTAGGTAAGCCTATGAGCGAGCTAATGGAGGTGGCACGGAAGGTTTTTGTAAACAGAGAAAAAGAGGAAGAGCGGAAGAAAGATCAAAAGATGCAGAGAAAAGCTAAATTAATGGCTGCAGCTATGATGTGGACCCTAAAAGATAGAGGAGGCAGCCAAGCAAGGGGCAACAGATCTGGGTTAGGACGTAATCAGTGTGCTATTTGTAAAAAGGAGGGACGCTGGAAGGGTGAGTGTCCAGAAAGGAACAAAGAAGAGAGGCTAGATGGAAGAAGAGGGAATTTCCGAGGAGGCCTCCAAGGACCCCCGAGAGGAAGCCAGGGAGGGCGAGGTTACAGGGAAGGATTTGAAAGAACCCCCCTCATAGGCTTGGCAGAGATGGAAGAATGGGACCGAAACCGACCTGATTCAGATTGCCTCCCAGAACCTATGGTCAGGCTAAATGTAGGAGGCAAACCTATTACCTTCCTAGTAGATACTGGAGCCACACAGTCAGTCCTAACCCAGCCCCTAACACAGGCCTTCCCCCACACTATTAACATCCAGGGGGCAACAGGAAGTATTTTACAGCGTCCCTTTTTGGAGCCCCTCGTGTGCACAACAAAAGGGCAAACCATAACACATCAATTTGTGTATATGCCAGACTGTCCTATCCCACTCCTGGGGAGGGATTTGTTGTGCAAACTTCAAGCTCAGATCTCCTTTGAAGAGGATGGAACAATGACACTGGGATATGGGAAGATAAACGTAACAATACCCAGAGAAGAAGAGTGGAGGCTCATGGTGGCCAGGGACAAGGGACAGGGGGATGTGGATGATCTGTTGATTACTGGTCACACAAAAGATATTTGCTGGAAGAACACACATGAGTTATTACTCCTATTGCAAGACCTGGGATATAAGGCCTCTAAGAAAAAAGCACAGTTGGTTTTAGAGAAGGTCTGATATTTGAGCTATGACATAGAACAGGGGAAACGTACCTTAGGTCACGAACATAAAGAGGCTATATGTCAGCTCCCGACACTTAACAAGAGGAGAGACTTGAGAGGGTTTTCAGGAGCCACAGGTTTTTGTCGTATCTGGATCCCTAATTTCAGCCTAATTGCCAAGCTCCTTTATGAAGCTACCAAAGGACAGGATAAGGAGCCGCTACAGTGGGGAACACAGGAAGCAACTAGTTTCCGATTGCTCAAGTAAGCACTGTTGCAAGCCCCCAGTTTAGGCCTCCCAGATTTGGATAAACCATTTCAATTATTTGTAGATACTAAACAGAATGTAGCAGTGGGTGTCCTCACCCAGAAAATGGGAACATGGCATCGCCCTGTAGCTTATCTCTCTAAACAGCTGGATAATGTTGCAAAAGGATGGCCTGCGTGCCTTAAGGCTGAGGCTGGGACTGCTATCTTAACTCAGGAAGTAAGTAAACTGACTTTTGGACAAGAGCTTGACATTTATAGTCCCCATGCCCTTAAAGCAGTTCTGGAAATGAAGGGCCATCTATGGCTAACCAACCCTCGAATGCTGAAATACCAAGGCGTAATCACTCATAACCCTATGATTAATATCATACAATCCACTGCATTAAATCCTGCTACATTATTGCCTGAACCAAACTCAGAAACCACTCACGATTGTATCCACACAATAGAGGAAACATATGCCAGCCGCCCTGACATGACTGATGTACCCCTTCCTTCTCCGAATTATACCCTATATACGGATGGTACCAGCTTCATGCAGGAAGGAATTAGATGGGCAGGGTATGCAGTGATTACTTTGGATGATGTTTGGGAAGCAGAACACCTCCCTTCAGGCACGAGTGCGCAGTTAGCTGAATTGCATGCATTAACTAGAGCTTTAGAGCTGGCAAAAGGCAAATGTGTCAACATATATACAGACTCTAAATATGCTTTCCTCACGGTTCAAGTCCATGGTGCCTTATATAAGGAAAGAGGGGTTATCACGGCAGGAGGCAGAGACATTAAATATGGTCCCCAAATACTACGCCTCCTAGACAGTGCATGGGCCCCACAGAAGGTTGCAGTTATACACTGCCGAGGACATCATAAAGTGGCCTCTGATATACAAAAGGGCAATGATAAAGCAGATAGAATGGCATGAAAGGCGGCTCAAAGGACTCCAACAATACAAGCACAATGCCTTACTGTATGGACACCACACAAACACCAACAACCACATTACTCCCAGGAAGACGTGAACCAAATTGAAGCTCAACTGGAAGGTGGCTGGTGGATCCTACCACACAACCGGGTTTTTGTGCCGGGGCATATGGCTTGGGACATAGTACAGCAAGTACAGCAGCTGCACCTAGGAAAAACTGCTTTAGCAAAGGCTTTGCAAAGGGAAGTTTATATTAACAAAATACAAGCATTGCAGCAAACATCTGTGCCAGGTGTGAAATTTGTGCAGCAAAGACAAGGGCCCCAACCACCACCAGGCCACCAACCAAGGGGTAGTTACCCGCTTGATTCTCTGATGATTGACTTCACAAACATGTCCCGCTCTGGCCACTACAACGCACTGCTAGTCATCATATGTACTTATACAGGATGGCCTGAGTGTATCCCTACCTGCACAAAGAAGGCTACTGAAGTTGCCAGGGCACTACTCCACATCATAATCCCCAGATATGGCCTGCCTTCTAGGATTTCATCAGACAATGGGCCTGAGTTTATCCACAAGGCCACTCAGCGATTAGCTAAGATATTGGGTATCACTTGGAAACTCCATTGTAGCTTCCATACCCCATCTGGAGGCAGGGTTGAGAGAGTTAATAGAACTATTAAGGAAAAAATTGGCCAAAATATGTCAGGAAACCCACCTTAAATGGCCAGATGCTTTGAGTTTGGCTCTGGTCGCTGTCAGGTGTGCTCCTCAGAAAGGTGTTTCACTTTCACCATTTGAGTTATTATATGGTCGGGTCCACAATCTACTTCATCTAAATATTCAAAATACTGTACAGATTTCTGATACAGTTAGAATGCAACAATTACAAGCTCTTAATACTGTAGTCCAAAGATTACAACAATATGTGTTAACCTGTAAACCCCATGTCTTAGTGACCTCCCCACATCCAGGACAGGAGGTCTGGGTTAAAGATTGGAAAAGGGAAGTATTGAGCCCAAAGTGGAAAGGGCCATATACTGTTGTTATGTGTTCTCCCCTTGCTGTTAAGGTAGCTGAAATAAAACCGTGGATTCACTGGTCTCGAGTTAAGTTGGCTGCACCTACCCAGTGGAAAGTGGAATTCCAACCGATTCATCCATTAAAGGTAACTCTCTGAAGGACTACACGGGATATCTCCCCTTCTGGTGACACTCTGGAAGCTGTCCCTCTATGAACGGGAGACGAAGAGGAACAGACCCCTGCAGGTGTTACCCTGGAAGCTAACACCCGACGCACGGGCCTCCCCTGGAAACTTTGATTGTGAGTCAAGTGTACCTAAGGATTGGAATTCTTTAGAAAGAGGGGAATTGGTGGTGGTGGGAGATATACCCCGTTACAATATGGAGGGTAATCAAAGGATGCGGGAGACCACATGCATCTGCAGAGGCCTTATGCCCTCTATCTGGATTGTAACTATCCTGTTAGTAATAAGTGTTGTCCTTAACTCCATGTACTTATATGTGATGCAAATGGCTAAGAAGGGTAATACAAACAAATAAATACCCCTCGATAAGGATGCAGTTGATGAGTGGTATTCACCAGACCCCACTGACCTGGAGGAACCCCAAGACCTGGAGGAGGACCAGGATAAGGGAAGGGAAACCAGGCCATGTGACATGTGCTTTATGGTACTACCCACAGGGAGACATTTTACTTATAATGTAACCAAGTTTCCTAATTGTTCCACTACTAATCTCCCTCAGTGTGAGCATAAGATATTGGCAGTGCATGTACAACAACACTATAAGATGTCATCTTCTGTGCACTCCATGGGTACCCATTAGGCATGTCCGCATACCCCAAAGTACAACAGATAAAGTCCGCCTAAGGAAAAGGGACTTGCAGGATTAGCTACATGTACTCAATGCCTAACTAATGAAGGGGCTCTACATGCCAGGATTAGGAAGCCAGATTCATGCGCTCATTTCCATTTACCCTCCTGTGCATATAGTCATAGGACATATAAAAGGTGCAATGGGACGGAGGGAGTTTTATGTTATAAAGATGAAAGGCACATTGAAAGATCAAGTGCTCCAGCTACCAAAAATTCCTTATGCCCCAACAATTGCACAGTATGTATTAAATCTGTGTTGAAAGGAAGAACAGTTACCACGACTTTGGTGTATCATACCCATTACAGATGTGAGGGAAAAGTAACTCCTTGTTGCTATAAAAGAACCTGGTACTCTATCTGTGCCCAGAAGGATGAATGTTATGACCCCAGGATTAATTCAGCACAAACATAGTTGGTAGCTAGAAGTAGAGGATCGAGTAGTGGCCCGATCATTTCCCAGACACAGATATTGTCAGCCACTAGCCCAGGTACCATTTCGTTTGATGTCTGCAAAGTGTCCCAGTGGCCCACTTCCTGCGGGTCTTCCTTGTCATGGCACAGAACATATACCCAATCTGATGTTTATATTTGCCCTTATAACCACCCAGTAGGGACTGGAAAGGGGGACTGTAGAAACATGGATGAGAGATTCTGTCCAACCTGGGATTGTGTTGCATGGGCCACTTATGCTTCAAATAAGGGCAAGGGAATTTATCTCCAGATAACAAGGGTACATGTGCTCACAAATTGTATGCCATATCAATGTAATTATGTCAACATTACTATACCTAACCCTCAGCAATGGATTTCCAGATATGGGTCAACAATGGGAATTAGATTGTGGGCACAAGGCACTGATCCGGGAGGTATCATACTTCTGTCTCTGGAAACCAGGTATCATCCTATTAGAAACTATACTAGATATTTCTCTGAATTTTGGAAGGAAGTTGATATTGAGTTTCAACCATCCCAGCAGGCTTGCAATTTATTTCTGGAATTGGCCTCTACCATAGCACATACTTTAAATATTACTAGCTGCTACGTATGTGGGGGTACTAAAATGGGGGACCAATGGCCATGGACAGCCCAGGAATGGAACTACTCAATCATCTATAATTTAACAGCCATGCCCAGACATCAGCCTCAGTCCAGGTGGGAACTAGATATTCCCATTGTGGCCCAATGGTGTTTGGCAAACTCACAAGGGGAGAAACCATCAGTAGGGGAAACAGACTGTCTAGAAGTACATGGATGGAATCAAACTACCAATTCTTGGCAGTACTGGCCAAATAATACAAACCAATTCTGGTCCAATTATTCCTTAGAGAACATTACTGTAGCCCCTCCCGGTGTACACTGGATTTGTGGCATTATGGCTTATCGTACTCTGCCCTTGACATGGAAAGGAGTATGTACTTTAGGTATCATAAACCCTGCCTTCTTTATGTTACCACTTAATCATCCCCAAGTAGTAAAAGCTGACCATTGGAAAAGTAGACAACTAAAAGCATATTATAAGATAGGGGATTGGAGTGATGATGAGTGGCCCTCTGAATGGGTTATTCAATATTATTAGCCAGCCACTTGGGCCACTGGTGGCAGTTATGGCTATCGCACCCCGATATATATGCTAAACCGCATTATCCGATTACAAGCGGTCGTAGAATTGATTGCAAATGAAACAGCTCAATCTCTATGCACAATAGCAATCCAACAGAAAAAGTTTAGAGATGCAATATACCAAAATCGTCTGGCCCTAGATTTCCTCTTAGCCACTGAAGGGGGAGTGTGTGCAAAATTCAACTTTACAAATTGCTTTCTGGAATTCGATGATATTGGTGAAATCATTGAACAAAGTGCTAGACATATAGAAAACATTGCGCATGTACCTGTTCACAAATGGAATGGGTTTGAATTTGGCGAGATATTTGGATCTTGGTTCCCTAAATTACCTGGCCTCCAAGCCATAGTTGCACTCATTGGAATGATAGCAGCAGGATGTGTTATTCTACCATGTATTCTCCCCATCTTTGTGCGAGTAATTTCCAACAGTCTTTCTATGCTGGTAGAAAAGAAGGCTGCAGACAAGGCCATGTTTTTGTGGGAATATGAGAAATTGAACACAATAGAAGATATCTCTCACATCTATAAAACTTCACAATAATCTAAGGATTTAAGTGAAGTTTCAAAGGGGGGAATGAAGCAGGGTGGAAAATTACCAGAAAAGTATTCTTATCATTAGCAGAAGTTCCTTAGCTTATATCGCAGACATTATAGACATTGCTTAATATGATATTGTGAAAATCAGGAAATCTGCTGAATCTAAGTCTAAGTATAATGACCTATGAACTAGATATTTTCTGTAAACAGCTAAATGGCAAGAGTGGCAAGAGTGGGTATGGAAAATAACAGATGGTGTAAGATAAGCACGTATATGCTGAATTGTGCAAAATGACTAATTAGACTTACTTCCCCCTTTTGTAGTACGCTGAGACTGGGAGCTGCATAAAAGTAACCCCCCAGGAATAGCTGGGGGTTCAGAATTTGCCATGCTAATGCTCTGAACCTTTTGCGCAAATAAACCTGTATTCTCCTACCCTTCGTGGTCTTGTGTCCTTATTTGAAAGCAGGATGTGCTGCAACATACACAGTGTCTTTTTCCCTACTTGGAACTGAACCCACAAGGATATTTCTTCCAACAGAGTTATGATTTAAAGTTTAGTGCAACCCATTTTTGTGGCCATTATTGCATCACCATTATTATGTACTAAACATAATAGCATTGATTTTTTAAATAAAATTAAGTTTCATCGGTGAGCAAAATGTTGAGTTTCACACTAACATTTAATTATGTTGAATTTGTTTTATTGGGAATTCAGGAATTTATTTGAAATAGACTACAAGGTCTATTTATCTCCTTTCTTCAAATTGCTTTTTTAAAAGATGTAACTCCAGTAATTTAATTATACTGGCATCATATAGAAAAAATGGAATCCTTTCATATCAAAAGCTTTTTAATGTTATGCATATGTTGCTCTCTATTAATGCATTTAAGGTGAGCGTAATAGCAATAAATAACAAAGCAGGCATTTGTGGCTGA